GCTCAACCAAACATACCCTTAGGCTAGCTCCTTTCCTTGCATGGCAGTGGCAGGCTAGAGTCGGCACCAGTGCTCATGGTGAGACCACTAAGACCCATGGAGGCCATTGTCCAAGCGCAGGACTCATGCTACCCAGGTCCACAACATGTCGGACACTAGGGCGTGACGACCTTAAGCGGCAGTTGTACATAGTTGTATCCCACCTTGCACATAGTTGTAAACGTTAACTATGCAATTTTATTGCTGATGCGACCTTGCTTTTTTTTAGGTTAAACTGTATAATAATTTATGGCTGACTATTGTCACTGTTATGAGACAATCATAATACTAATTTTTTTTATTGGTCAAGGCCAAAATGACTAATGTATTATTTGCTGCTACTTCCCGATAGGTCGCACTGTCGTAGTATGCTTTATCTCAACTGAATCCACTCCTATCTCATCATTCTTGTGCAGGTTGCAGCAATATGATCACTCTGTAGCTGGTTGCAACAATCTGATCATTCTTGAATGACTTACGAGGATGGCCCATACTATGGATAAGGAAGAAAATTTATGCTGACTTTGAATTTTGATAGGTCACCATGGATAACCTATGAATTATTTTTAGGTTAACTATAATGGTATATTTGAACATATTTTCTTTCATATTTGGCTACTTAAATAAGATACTCATGGATTAGGCCTTATTTAAATCCAGGGTGCTAAGTTTTGGTGCGTCACATCGGGTGTCATATCAGGATGTCGTATGGGGTGTTCGGATACTAATAAAAAAAATAAATTACAGAATCCGTCGGTAATCCACGAAATGAATTTATTAAGCCTAATTAATCCATCATTAGCACATGTGTTACTATAGCGCCACATTGTCAAATAATGGACTAATTAGGCTTAAAAGATTTGTCTCGCAAATTAGTCGCAAACTGTGCAATTAGTTATTTTTTAGTCTATATTTAATACTCCATGCATGTGTCCAAACATTCGATGGGATAGAGAGTAAACTTTAAGGAAAGAAACTAAACAAGGCCTTAGCCAAACGAGCTAGACAATTTGCTCCTCAATTATGTGCTTTTGTATTATGAAAGAAAAGTAATCATTCTGGTACGTGTATCATGATTTCATGATTGGAGCAGTGAAAAAAATTGGGTTAACTTTATACCTTGGCTTAATGTTGTGCTCCGGTTGCAATGCACGGGCACTCAACTAGTATTGTAGAATGTGCACGAAGGGCTGAGGTAGAGGGGGTTAGGGGGCCTGCGCCCCTCCCCCTCAAAGAGCCTACTAATCTCGCATTAGTTTCTTAAATATTGGTGTTTATTAGTTCATTTATGAAGGTATGGCTCCCTCAGTTGGAGTTGTCCCTCCTATCTCAAGTTTTTGCTCCGCTCCTGTGTGCACCTACACCTACCTGATCAGTAGTTTGGTACTGTTTATACTAATAGGTCCTGATCATTGTCTTGTATTTGAATCCAACATGTTGCACTCTAGTGTGACCATGTGTATTTATGTAATCTATATAGCACAACAGATCACAAAATCATGTAAGAGCATCTCCAAGAGTCTTTCTAAAATTTACTCTCTAAACCATTATTTGGAGAGTCATTTGAGTAATAATCGATTTCTATATCTTCGTGCCCTCCAAGAGTTTTTAATATCTTGTACGCATTTTAGAGAGTCATCCTTGTTCTGTATCTTCGGCTAGCGAAAAATCCGAAATAAAGGATATCTATATTTGGAGGTCGAATTAAGGAGGTCGTTGGAGGGTATTCTTTAACAGAATCTCTATTCCTATCCTATAAATTAAATTAGAAAGGATATAACTCTTGCAGTTGCTCCAATGAAAATGTGGGTTGAGACCCGCCTCGGTTACCTGGACCTCCTCAAATATGCGTGCGGCCCGCATAAGGTTTGGGTGGGCCGAAATCGGACCTAGTACTCAGTTTGACCTTGGACTTGCTCATTTGGGTGCGTTTGGTTCGAGGGATGAGATGGTCAATATTCTTCTCACTCCTCACTTTTTTTATTTGGTTTGTGGAATAGAATGGTTGATCCATCACCACCTCATTTCTCACGAGCTAATAATTAGTATACAGAGAATGAGTTGATTCCACCAAAGTTCATGTAATTTTTTTTGAGAATACCAAAACTCATGAGGTGAGCTCGTGAAGCATGGGTGACTTTGCACAAACCAAACACACCGGATACACTCCGGCCCATACGTCTCAGCTTGTGAGCCCAATCATCCTGGCCTCATTCCCCCCTTAGAGCATCTCCAAGAATTCCCTAAACCTCCTCCTAATCCTAAGTTTTTAGAAAGATCCACAAAAATTCATCTCCAACAACTCCTAATACAATCTCCTAATATTTTAGGAGTTGGAAAAAACCCCCCTCATCCGCGTAACTTCACGCTCCGCAGCCTCGCGCGTATCCTTCGACTCCCATCGCTGCGGTGGCCTGACAACCGGAGCGCCGTGAAGGATGTGAAGGGCAAGGACGGTGGCCACGTGGCCGCCGGAGACGACGGGGCCGCCAGCACTCACGGCGGGGAGGAGGAGGAGGAGAAGGAGCGAGAAGCAGCCGTGCTGGAAGAGAGCAGTCGGGATGCCGGGGCAGCGACCGCACGTACTCGTCCAGCGGCTTGTCCATCTTCCACAAGGCCTGGAAGAAGGGCATGAAGTGGTCTTTCTCCACCACCATGTCGATCGACTCCACCCCCTTCGGCAGCCCGAGCCCCGGGCCGGGGAACGCGACCTCCACGAGCTCGACGTCGAGCCCCGCCCGCCGCACGCTGTCGACGACGGCCCGGTTGCGCGCGGCGTTGACGGGCGTGGTGACCACGCTGACGCGCGCGCCCCAACCGGCGAGGAGGCGCGCCAGATCCACCATCGGGATGATGTGGCCCTGCGCCACCAGCGGCACGAGCACGAAGTGAAGCCCCGCCGCCGCCATTGGCTGTGTGTGCATGTCGACTCCTAGCCTCTCTCTCATGCTCTGCTTTCTCGGTAGCTTAGATGGCTGCCGCGCGTGTGCACCTTATAAACACAAGGAGGGCTAGTCGCCGCGACACGACCGATGGCGAGGTTGCATGCCGAAGCTCGAGGTCGACGACGTGACGCGTGCACGGTGCACGCACGCCTGTGGTGGACGACGAGGGAGATCTAGAGAGAAGTGGCCGAGACGTGACGACGCGATAGGGAGCGTGAGGCTGGGAGACCAATAGGAGTACAGGGCAGATCAGTGTAGCATCTGTGTTCGAATTTGCGTGATTGTGTGAGGGGATTCGGAGAATTCTGCTCTGAATTCTCAATTCTAGCCATGTCGTGTTTATGCACACAAGGAGGACAGGTTTTGCACGCCTAGCCACTAGCGTACGGAGTAGAGCAACGTGGCATCGAGTAGGAGAGCTTGGACGGCGGCATCGAGGAGGAGAGCAACACGGGGCAGAGGCAGCGAGAGGAGGAACAGAGCGCGCTCGAGGAGCAGCAGGCCGCTGCCGGGAACCAGCTGCGCCGTGAAGCGCAGGAGGACCCGCAGGCCGACGGCGGCGACCAAGGGACGGAGGAGGAACAACGCGGCAGGGAGCAGCCACAGGGCGAAGAGGAGACGCGCTCGTCGTCGGTGTCGGGGTCCAGCGGAGATGCCGACGGCGTCGATGGCGACAAGCCGGCCGTGTCGGAGTTGGAGCACATGAGGGGCATGCCCTGTAGTTTCCCGTGATGGAAAAGAAAAAAAAGCCACAACACAATTCATGTGGGCCCTAAATTTAATTTTTTAATATTATTTATTAGAAACTCTCGGAGATGACCTTTTTTTTTTCTCTCCAGATCTTTTTAGAAGTTGCTAAACTATAAGTTTTTAGGAGGAAAAAAAGTAGTGATGCTCTTAGGCCCATCAACAAGCCGCGCTGCTCTCGTCTGTCGGCCGGCTCCCTCGCGTTCCCCCTTTCTGGCCGGCTTCCTCCTCCTCGCCCACCGCCGACGCAAAAAACCCCGCCCCCCAATTCCAATCTCGCCGCCGGCGCTCCGCTTCGCACCGCCAGGAGCAGCCTGTCCTCCCTCCGATCCGCACTCGCCCGCGTTGGAGTTGGGGAACGAACGTCTCCCTCTCCGTTGCTCCCCCTGCTAGCATCAGTTGGCGCTGGAATTGGTGTGCGTCTTTCTCGATCTACTCTCCTCAACTCCTATCTACCCGCGCACATATCTTCCTTTCTACAGAGTCCTCTGCTTTGCAAATTCATGCCTGCTGCTTGGGATGGACGAAAACGTAATCATCAGTATTCATTGAACATTGCTATGCTACTTCATCGTGCTTCGAATAGAGACCTGACCTGCTAAGCATATCTGCTACTAATAGTAGCATATTTATTCTAGCTCTTATGAGAAATACAAACTAGTATTATATTTCAACAGCTACAGGAACACCACTGTTCTTATTATAAACATATTTAACTGTACAAGTGCCCCCCTCATTGTTCATCCCCTATTCTGGCTTCATGCATGATACACCTTGATTGTGTATTTGGCACTCACATCAAAGTCTAGACTAGATGACACTGATTGGTCACGAACTCACGATTAGTTCAACACTGATTGCTCACTATGAGTTTATGAGATCTTCAGTAGTACTGTAACAACTAAAATGGCAGGGAACAACACTGTTTCTAGTTAAGCTCTGTGCTATGCACGCACCAGAGATGTTTTTCAGGTCTGGTCCAATGTTCCCGTCACATCTGCACATTATATATAATACTAATAGTACAGCTTGACAGTTTCCTTCCCCTTTTGATGCTCACACTAATATATCTTTGTTCAAGTCTGTGTAGGAGATTGATCCTGATACCTCTCATAACTGCTGCCTCTATTTATTTGACTTTTCAAAGAGAGATTAATATGCTTCTACTCGCTAAAGGGTTACTACACCATGTGTGATGTTAATATTTGGCTCCTACTTCTGTGCCTGATGCTTTTCCCCCATTGTTTTTCCAACTGTAGGAGAATTCCTATGGAGACGATCTCATCCTGTCCCATCTGCAATATACAAGTTCTCACGGTTGAGCTGGAATGGTAATGGCGGATTCTTCTCCATGCTTCTGCAATTGAGCGTCTCCTCCCTTCTTTTTTTTTCTCCCTGGCATTATACACAACATACCACTATCTTATGCAATGTTTGCCATAATCATTTGTAGGCATGCCAATAGCCACTTTGATGATGATCAACTCCAAAGGGACATGGAATTAGCACATCAGATGGCAATTGCTGAATCAAGTACAGGTACCATGGTAATAATCTCGCTTTGGCTGTTTTCTCTCACATTGTTTTAATAATAGTAGCTGTAGATCATGGTCCATTTCAATAATTGAAAGGTTTTCTCTGCATAGCACTTGCTGAATCTAGTAAAGATACCATGGAAATATTCTGCTCACAAGTTTATCCCTTTCGTATAAAAATAATATAGGTGTGGATCATTATTCATTTCAGTAGTACAATTTCTGTGTGGGGGATAGGGGCGCCTTACAGTGTTCACATGTATTGTTTGAAAGACGCACATACTTACCTCCTAGTGCTGTTGCTGTTAAAACTTTCATCAGAGATATGCTTAGAATTCAGCAGAAAGTGAAATACTGTTCTAATTATCCTGGTTTGTGATCCACTAGTCCAGAAACGCCTTGGTACTTGATGTTTTGCATTCCTTGTTTTGGCAGGGTTATAATTCAGCTGATCTTTTGTGCAGAATGACCCAAAACGTTATAGTGGATCATTCACCAGTGACTCCAATACTCTAGGGGCCTCATCGAGTCATAGTGGATACTCACGCCATTACAGCGAGCTATTGGATGAACAAATCTCTTGTTTGATCGGAGCACAAATTCGAAGCAAAGTTCAAGAAGTAGAAGGCGGTATTATGAGCTTGTTGAGGGGCTGCTTGGAGTCAGAAGCTGGTTCCTTGACAAGTATGATATCAGGCTATATTGAGCATCATCAGAGTCTTTCATCAGAAGATAAGGGATGGGGATGTGGATGGAGAAATATTCAGATGCTGAGCTCTCATCTATTGAAGCAAAGACCAGAAGCTAGAGTAGTATTATTTGGTGGTTCTGGATTTGTTCCTGACATCCCTTCACTCCAGAGGTGGCTTGATATTGCTTGGGATAAAAAGTTTGATACGATTGGCTCCAGCCACTTTCATAACAAAGTTTATGGTGCCAATAAATGGATAGGGACTACAGAATGTGCTACCCTCTTCCGCTGCTTGGCCTCCGCAAGGATTGTAGATTTTGATAGCACAGAATCATCTGACCTCCAAAGTAAGAACAGAAGGCGTGCAGCGAGTCAAGTACAAGGACCTATTGACAAGTTCTTAATAAAGAATAACTCTCCAAAATCATCGTCTGAACTTTGTCGAGAGGATGCTCAAAGTATGAGGACAGGTCCTTGTTGACTGGGTTTGTAACTACTTTGCAAGTGAGTGTTCTGATAGATTTGCCACACAGCGTGTCACTGTCAGCAATAAAACGTAAGAGCTTATATGTCTCCCTTTTGAGAGATGTTCTATCCCATAATCTGAAATGCTTACAGTATCTACAAGTAACTTTGTTATAGTGTAACTAATAACGAGGTAGGTGCCATTCACAGGCCACTGTATTTTCAACATCAAGGTCATTCAAGGACAATAGTTGGGATTCAAAAGAAAATGGGTCATTGTGGATCTCAAGAACAATACACCCTTTTGATTTTAGATCCTGGCCATGTAAGTTACAGTTATCATTAATTTTATTGGTGTGAACTATTTTCCCTTTAGTTGTCAGTTAATTGTATTTAATTTCAGTCTATTTGAAGATCAGCTTATGGTGTAAGTTTGTTGGTTTCAAAGCTCAGCGAGTGTTGCGCTATTTGGTATTTTTGACTTTTCGTTCTTCATGCTTTTTACTGAACAGTTACTTTGAGGACCACCAACATAAACTGAACATCTGGTGTCTAGCTCGGCGTGGATGTATGTTTAGCTCTATAGAATATCTTCAGGCCCTCTTGCTTCCCATGTGAATAGACTCTTGTGATATTGATCGAGAAAGCAGCAGCTTAGACTTCAAAAGCACATGCCAACATTCGTTGTACCAAGTCGTTGTTTTGATGTGTTGCAACATATTGTGGATTATATTTCTTTGCTTTGGATCCTTATTTTGTATGCATAGTCCATTCTGAAACTGCTAGTGTAGACTTTGAATTGCTGTTTCTCTGTTAGTATGCTATTCAAATGTTTTCCTTTAATGCCACAGAGAACTGCAGATCTAGAAAGGTCTCTAAGAAGCAAAAAGGGATGGCAGCGTCTGGTGAAGAGAGGTGTCCACACACTCAGGAAGCCACAATATCAGGTACATCAAATGTCACAAAGTACATGAAATTGAGAAGGCTTACATGAATTTGTACACTTATATAATACATTATCTGGTGTACATGTCATGTTACCAGTTGTGTTATGTGGATCCTGGAATTGCTAGTTTAGAAGAGATGGAGCAACTGAAGGATATTAATAATGATAGTATACTAGTCAGGTTTTAGGTTCCTGGTGAGTATGAAAACCAATCCTGTCTTTCTTTGTTTATATATGTTAACAATAAAGATGTGCTGGGAAATTTGGATCACTAATCTTGTTATCCATTGTTCAGATTATGCGACAAAAACAAAATGAACAATTCAATTATGAGAAATTGTGTCTAACTAATTATTGGTTTTTCATACCACTGTTTTATCGATGCTTCATCGGTTATTTTGACCTAGCTCAATGCTGTATTTGTGCAGTATTACCTTGATGTTGTGAAGCATGTTTCTCTGATTTTCTTAATGGTTCAACAGAAAACAGGTCATTATCAATCTGTTGCCACCCTCCACGCCACGGTCCACGCCCAAGTTGTCACCGTACGTTCATCCTCTACATTGGATCAACCAACGTCCTACTCCAAGTGGGGAGGGTTTCATCTTCATCGTTTCGTTGGTGATAGTTAAAGAGTGTAGTGTCATTATCAATCCCATCTAATAATTTCTTCTCAATGCACATAATGTTGCTAAACCGTAAACCTTTCTTGAGTCGCTCCGGACCTTAAATATTTCTTCAACTGCTTTAATTTTGAAAAACTTTCATTGATCCAAGTTTGAAAAATCAATATCCAAACCATCCAAAAGATCATATAGAGCGTGAAGTTGTTCTGATGCAAAAATATCCCCAAGTAAACTTGACCCGTGGAGTGTCAACCCTGTTGTAGAATGTATGAAGAAACTTCAAAATCAGTGCTTTGTTCTGACTTCTGCCAGTCCACCATTTTCTTTAGCCCTGCAAAGCCTTAAGAGGCCCTTTGGTATGGATTCGCCGGCTCCGGCTCCGGCTCCAACTGACAGCTATGACACAGCACACTGTAGCTAAACTGTTCGTCGAATCTATTTTTCTCTCAACTCCTTTTTCCCTCCCACCGACACAAGCCGGAGCCAGTTTTTCTGGCTTCTGTGGCGCTGGCTCTCGCGCGTCACCGTAACGCTACAGTGCCTCCTACAGTAGGGGGCCGGATCCGTCGGGAGCCCGGCCCCTTAGTAGGCTTTGGCTGATCCATACCCTTTGTTTGCTGCAATTCCTCCTCTGCTCTTGGACCTCACTCAGTCAGAGTGTTATCCTAAACGTTAAACGGTCAGTCCCCTGTCGTTTAGCTTATTATTCGAGGTGTTTAAACAAGCTAAACAGCCATTTAAACGGTCACAACAACTAATTAAACGAAAACGATGCACCACCGTGTAGCGTTTAAACGGTGTGTAAATAGGCTAAACAACTGTTTAGGCGAACAGTGCTCAGTCGTGAGAAAACTGCACGCTATCCCTGCCCAGCGAACAACTGACAGCCATGAATAGTAAGTCTCCTGCAGATAAGATTACCAAACCCACAGACGTCCCAATTCCACAAAACCGACTGAATCCCAAAAGTTCTTTTTCCGTATAAAAAGAAAAAGAAAACACGAGATCAATCATACAGAGGACGAAGGATGTGCATCGATACAACAGATGTCAACGCTGTAAGAAATGAATAGAGAGAGAGAGAACAAAACAATGCCAATAACACAATCTTAGTTGACAGCATGTTCGTTTGTTGGTTTCAGCTGGTACCGTTCACACACAGTCCATTACTTATATATCCAAATAAGAGATATCTGCCGTGATAACAGTCATCTAGCTAGGTTCTAGATCAGCACGGCAATAAGTGCGACCTTTTCTTTTCAAAACCAGCAATAACAACTTAATATATAGTTAGACTTCCTTGTGCTCAGTCTAGGTCCCATATATAATAGATGCATTGTGAGTACATGCTCCCACATGATACTTAACGGACTGTCCTATTTTCACTGTCGGATTGACGGTTTTCAATCCTCTGTGGCAAGCCCATGCCTGCAAAGGGTCATTATCAGTAAGAGCTTTAGGAATCCAATATACACTTGCGGTTACATTATATAAAGTGGCTTGGGAACCTGTACCAGGAATCAGATGGATGCGTCGAGCAACCTCAAGCTTCTTTTTGGCATAATCCACATACATTTTTCGTCTTGGAATCTGAAAAACAAATTTGTTACAATTTCATTGTAGCATAGAACATGCGCAGAGTTTCAGGCCAGGTACCCAGCAAAGTAACTGTAGACTATCCATTAGCTAACCTTACTGTAAACTGCATCAGTAAAATGTTTCCTTAAAACTGCGCCTTCGCCACCATCTACGACCTAAAGGCAAACAGACAAGACAACACTGATGGGAGGGGAAACTACTTGGATAATGGAAGTAGTATATAGCATAAACATAGCAGTATGTCTACAAAATCATACTTACAAGTTCCCGAATGTGACCCATGCAGATATTAAACTAAAAACATAATCAGATGGCAAGTCATTAGCACTAAAACAAAATTACCAACAAAAACAACACAAAAGAAGTGGGAACATGTCTTAACATCTGCAGATATACACGAAACCTACATCGCGGAGCATTAGGCCATATCCCTCGATCTGAGCTTGGATCCTAAACGAGCATGAAGAAGGAAGCTTATTTTCTGATGAAAGGATGTCCTTCAAAGCCTCTTTGAAACTCATCTGCTCGCACAAGGAAACATTAATTAAACATACAGAGTAGACAACAAGATAACACAAAAACAAACAATAATCAGTGATGTGTATATAAATTGCACAAGGCACAAGGCACAAGGCAGCCTGCCAACCTCTTGCTTAGAGGTTCGCTTCCAAACCTCAAAATAGACCAGATCATAGTCCTTTCGACAATCAAGATCATAGCGCAGGCCCCAAACATACTCCTGTGTCCAAAAAAAAATACAATGGAGTCATAAAATGCATTGACAATAAGCATCACCTGCTACCATTATAAGTTAATAGCAGAACAAATGGATCTTACCTCATAGCCAAGAGTAGCTAAAGAAGCAGGCAAATGGCAGAAGCCTGCCGCAATCTTCATGGCTTGCTGTGCTCCCCTGTCATCATACCTCAAAAACTAAAGGGCAAAGGAGTCATGGGGGCGCTAAACTATGCATATACCTGAACTACATTCTTTCCCGCTGTTGATCCTTACCTGTTTATGATCTAGAAGCAGAGCGTCTTCAATCCACTGTCACATGGTGAAAACGTTGTCAGTCAATACAATTCAGCAGTAGCACATGTTTTTCAACTTTTTCAATAGGTAGACACACGATGCATACCTTCATACGCTTTGACAGTTCATCCCAGTACTTGACATACTCCTCATCAGTTTCATAGCAGCTAAAAGTTAAGCGGTACTTTTCCCAATCAGGATAATCGACAAAAAAATCCTGCCATCCAAATGAGAGAAGCAATATACGTGACTTAAAGGAACAATACTAGATCCTTCCATTTGATTAAGTACTCCAACACAATACAAACGTGGAAAGAAAATGAGCATTCAACCTTTTGATGTAACTCAATATATACTTTGACTCACATATATACTGCTCAAATGAAAATCTATGTGATCACATTTTCAGAAACATACATACATATATATTTGCTTACTACAATTGAGAGGAAAAATTCAAGAACAATAAGGACAAAATAAAAGCTTATCCAGGCTTTTGACAAAACAAAACAGACTTCAAATACAATAACAGATTCAATAGTATGGACTTAAGGATTACGGATGTGCCACCTCTCTAGAGTGTGTTGCCATGTTTGCAAGCGCTATCTTATCCTATTTTTGGATATAAACTAGTACGAAAGAATTATACAATATATACGCTGCCATGGCACCGGTATTTAAGGTTAGTAAAAACTTCAGATGCAAATTCAAACATAAGTGGAATTGACTAGTATGAACAGTCGGCACAACAAATTACAACTAGCATTTTCGATTATCACACAAGTGATGTGTTAGCCTAGAAGGACAATGTTTGGCAAATAACTAGCATTGTTGAATATCACACAAGTGACTTGGACGACATGGGAATGTGAAAGATAGTGCCAACCACCAAAACATTTGACTCAACAAAAGGAAGAGTTTTTTAAAGCCCTTCGAAAGGTAATGTTCTATGTACTTAGTAACTTCCAGTTTGTGTTACGAATCTGGTATTATCCTTGTAATAAGGGCACGCAGAATTGAATGAGAAACGAAAACAATATATTCAAAGCATGAGTAAAACCGCTAAAAGTGCATTCCAACAAATTGATTTTAGGGCTTGGCTGCTTAATGGCATCATGTATTCAGATTTTTTTTCCCAGTTAGCCAGTGCTAATCCAAAGAGTTGTAAACTAGTCAAAAATTTATATGCGGAGAACAAGGATTTAGAATGTTGTTGTCCAAGGAAAATAAAGTAACTAATGATGAAGATGTAGCATTTCAGAAACAAACTTAGCAAAAATTTCCCTAGTTGAATAAAGACCAGGAAGATGGTCACAGGAATGGCCAACCGACGTGCAATCATGGAGGCTATTGCAAGTGATAGAATGTCATGCCCTCATGCAAAAGATCAGAGTAGCTCTTATAAATGATCGTGAGGCAACAACAGCAAGAATTCATTTTGGATGCAGTTTAAATAAAGGGCGTAGCTAGTGCAGAGAGCTCCCGCTCTGTGCGGGGTCTGGGGAAGGGTGTCGGTGGCAAGTCTTACTCTCACCTGTGCAATGCGAGGAGACCGCGACTCGAACCCGGGACCTTCCGGTCACAGGCGGTAAGACTCTACCGCTTGCACCAGGCCCGCCCTTCGGATGCAGTTTAAATACCGATGATAAAACGGAGGTGATATTAAGTACTCACAGCTCTTGTAAGGACTATGCGCTGGTAGTCATCCAGCTTGGCGAGATCAAAATACTCGAGATCGTAGGTCCAACCGAAGATGCTAGGACCTGGCTTAAAGGGGTCATCCCAATCAAAAACCTCATCAGGGTACTCACTTGCTGGCACTGCAGCAGTGGTGTCATCCCAGTTGAGACTACCCTCCTTCAACCTCTGCACACAGATCGAACAAGGATTGATTTGAGGGCATCTATTGATTGTAAATAAGTGGAATTGAA